GAGGAACTGTCGGTGCCCCCGGGCCTAAGGGTTGGGATGGAATGAACGGCCCAACCATTGGACGACCGATCCCACCGGGTGGGCCTGGGAATCCTGGTGGCATGGCAAACGGAACACCTAGAAAAGAAGCAGTTGTGAAAAAAACCGAGTTGTTAAGAGGACGAAAGTAATAGTCTCTATTTGATCACCCAGATAGCCACTGCGACAGCAAACCATCTACATAGCACTTAAATACTCGTTAGTATAACATGCAACAACCACTTCTGCATTTGAAACCGTTGCCAGAGATTATGGGGAATGCTCCAGTTCTATTAACGTTAGAAGTGCGAAAACCATAGCAGGCGTACACGCTACAACCAAATTAAATGCGATTTCATCAACACCACAACTTGATATTACTCACTTTCAGACGGTCCGCCGGCCGGAAACGCGAAACCTGAAGGTATTGTTGGGGGAATTGGGGGCGGACACATAGGCGGAGCCGCTGCCGGAGCATTTATAGATGCCGAAGATGTGTTCGGTGGTACCGAGGAGGTCGGTGGCGTTCCGGGCATGCTAAAGGGAGGACGGGGCGATCCAAATGGTGGCGGGGCAACAGGATAGGTAGGAACGGTCGAGGTCTCCGGAGTAACGAAAGGAGCAGACTGTGTCCCTGCAGGGTTAATTGGAGCAGGAGCAGGTTGTGAATTCGCAACGCTGCTAGGTGGCGTTAGAGCTCCCGAGGGTGACGCCACTGAGGGCATCGGCGGGCCACCTGGTGGAGCATTAGCCGCCGCATGTGAACCAGGCGGCGGAACTGCGGGTGGACCAGAGGGAGGGATACCCGGAGGGCCTGTTGACCCAGGAGGACCAAATGGTGGGCGTGCTTGACCTGGGAAGTTGGATCCGCCAGGGCCGTGGAAAGGTGGCGCGTTGTAAGTCGGTCCGGGAGGCTGATTAAAATTCGATCCAGAAGCGTTAAAGTCCGGATTGGCAGGAGGACCATTTGAACCTGATCCTGGAGGTGGTCCGCCGAAGCTCTGTCCGAAAGATGGGCCGGGAGGGGCCCCCTGGTTGGATGGGGGGCCAGAAAAAGGCGGACCAGGAGGGCCACCAAATGGCCGACCTGCTCCGGGTCCGCCATAAGCCGGCCCTGGACCACTGAAAGGAGGTCCATTTGCATTACTTCCAGGCATGCCATGACCACTATATGGTGGGCCATTGAAAGGCTGTCCAGGAGGAGCGTTGAAAGACTGCCCAGGAGGGCCGTTAAAGGGCTGCCCAGGAGGGGCGTTGAAGGATTGTCCAGGTGGGCCGTTAAAGGGTGGTCCAGGGGGACCACCGAAGTTTTGTCCGGGCGGACCGGCAAATCCCGGGCCTCCAGGGGGCGGGCCATGCGGCGGACCAGAAGGGTGAGGCCCACCATGGGGCCCCATCATGTATGGCGGAGGTGGTCCACGAGGACGCATCTGTGGCTGCATATTCGGGTAAGAATTTGGATTGGGTGGTGCATCGTAATCATTGCCTGGAACAATAGATTCCCCGTACGGTACAGAATCATCCATATCCTCCTTGTGGTCTTCAGGCATGGGCGGGTAACGAGGCGGGAACTGTTGAGGGTGCCTCATAGGTCCGCGTTGCATTCCCATAGGGGGTCCGTATCCGTCGAATGGGGGTCCATTCCGATTGGGGCCCATTCCAGGTCTCATAAATGGCATTCCACTAGGAAAAAATTAAAGTGAAAAACGATACTTACTGTGGATTCCCAGGCATGTGCATGGGCATGCGGGGTCCTCTGAAACCAGGAGGGAAAGCGGCCCGGGGGCCCGGTCCAGAACGATACTGCATGGGTGGCGTTGTGTGTCTAAAACAATGCGTCAATACACTGCATACACGAAGAAACAGGACAGATACGCGAAAAGTGTCTGGTTCTAGTGCACCACGCAACAGCCACACGCTAATGAACTCTACTTCGAGTCTTGAAAGTCCACTGGCAGTGGAAAACAATACCAACGCTGTCAAGTGCTAATGAACATCGCCTGCTCTGTCGGCCTACGGCAACTTAGAGCTAGTGGTTCATGTCTTGCGCAGATCGCAAAATTCACCAGAATACATACAGGCTCTAGAAGCAGGGATCACTATACCGAAGAATGTCTACTAAAGCCTTCAGGGATTACGTCCCATTAAAGCCTCCCGAAAGAAAGTTGCAAGGGTACCCAATACGCCGAGCAAGTCAGCTCTCAAAATTCGGCCGTGACTCACCGTTCCCGCGGGAGGGGGGCACTGGGACTTGTTGCGGGAACAGTCTGATGCTGTTTGGAACCTGGCAAGAATAATTGTACCCATTGGCTCGCGAAGTCACGAAACTACCTTCTGACGGATGTTAATGGTGCACAGGGAGTACATTTGGGTGCAAATTAACCACCTTCATCCAAAAATCCCAGACATACTGCCGCTAGCTCAAGACAACCTCAAACATTTCGTACAAAGAAAACGTCCAAAAGGGTTTCCACCGCCCTGCTCCCTAGCCACAGACCGATTTCCAGGTAACACTAGATCACTCCGGAAAACCCCACGTTACTTGTTCAATAAATTTGTGAAAATTATTTATCTGTCTTGGCAACTGTACACGAGTTAGGTGTTTATGTAACAACTAGGCCACATGGATAAACGCCGACCGATGGGAAGCAGACACGATCTAACTACTGAATGTACATGCTTGGGGCCATCTCAACACCTAAACGCTCTTCTCAAAAACTGGACTCTGGCACTTTGCAGGACAGCGTCCATCCAACCTGAGGAACAAATATTCAGTGCCAACTTACCGCATCGGGCGCATGGGACGCGGCCCGCTACCCTGCGCGAAATGTTCATCCGACTTGAAATAATCATCCTTGGTCATTTCAACATCAGTCGACTTGCATTCACCGTTTTGGTCAAAAGGGCCATCCTCATGCTGATAACTATGCTCCGAAGCAACTTCTTCATCGAGAGCAACACCTTCATCCTCCATTGCAATTATGGTGGTGTTGCGAACAGGAAAAGGCACGTTCAAACAAGTTTCTAGTTCAGTTAGATGAAAAACGACCACATAAGCTACTGAGTGCTTGAACGGGCAGCAAACTCGCCTTAAATGACTTAATACCGATGTAAGACGGCAGGTAGTTGCTGTTTGATTGGCATGTACCAATTTGGTTTAGTCTTTGCCTGACGCAGGTATATCAGTATTCGCACAATGGAATTGCAGATTTGAAACTTGATACCTGTGCCTGATTCACGGATTCACTGATTCACTGATTGATACA